AGGCGCAGGGGGTGATAGACCCCAACCCCTTACCCTTCTTGGGCACGAACTGCGATGTCACGCCCACCTCAAAGGTGGCGAAGACGGGCGAGTGGTCACTGGTCACAATGTCATCGGTACAGCCTGGACGGTGGGAGGGGGCAGCTGGGTGACAGTCCCCGAGCCCCAGGGTCTTGGGCAGCACTGGCCACCCTGGGCTCCCCCCCTGGGCTCCCCGGTGTCCCACTCACCGTAGGAGTTACAGACCACGTGGGTCTCCGGGTGCGACTTCCACAGGATGCGGTCGCACCACGAGGGGACGTTGATCCTCATCTAAAAATGGGGAAAGTAACTGGCTTCAATGCCCCCTCGGATCTGGCTCTCCCCAGCCCAGAAAAGTGACCCAGCACCCCAAAAAGTGAGCTCCCTTCCACCTGGACTGCCTCTGGGGAGGTAACAGGCTGGTGGAGCTGTGGGGGCTGAGCATCACCACCCAGCCCCCCGGCACCGTCTGAGCCTGCTGTCCCTGTCCCCGGCAGTGTCCTGCAGCTCGGTGGGATGCTCTGGGAACTCACACCCGTGGGCTTGAACTTCTGCCACATGTAGCTGTCCCGGGAGCCCCGCTCATACCGGTACGTCGGTGGGAAGGAGATGTCACCCTCGCCTGGAAACCAAGACGCAGAGGTGACACAGGGGCCAGCGTCCCTGCCTGTCCCCACAGCTGCAACCAGCCGGGGAGAGGTCCCATGGGGTGTCACAGTCCCCATCTGGGGTTCACACTGATGGCTGGCACCCCAGCCACCTCTGACTGTCCCCATGCTTGCACGCTCTCGGGACGGAGAGCCCAGGGATCTGCCCCGGGGGGCTTGCATGGTGCACATCGAGGTCCCCCAGGCCTTCGGCACCTCTGTGCCAGGACAGGGCACCCCTGTGTGCTGGAGGCTGCAGGGACCAGTGCAGGGGCAGGCGTCCCCCACAGCTGCCCCCCTTGTCAGGGGAGCCATTCCCTCTGCCCCCACACTCACTGAATCGCAGGAACACCTTGTTCTTCTCCCGCTCCAGGTTGAGCTGGTCGACAGCCAGGAGGGCTTCAAACTCCTTCTTGGTTATGTGGGCAAGGATGTCCTGTGCCGGGGGAGGAAGGTACGGTGAGCCCCGGCTGCTCTCACCCCTGCCGCTGCACCGCGCCGCTGCCAGCGTGCCACCGTCCCCAGGCCGGGTGCCCGTGGGATCCCACCTGCACGTCCATGTCCAGGCGGTAGTTGAGGTCCCCGAACCAGAAGAGGTGGGTGAAGCGCAGGGTGAGGTCGAAGGCGCCGAGCTGCTTGTCGCCCAGGACCAGGGAGCGCAGGATGTCGCTGTAGTTCTGGTTACGCCTGTGGGGGTACGGCAGCACCGCGTGAACCTCCTGGGGCCACCTCATCCTCATCCTCCCCTGCCAGGTGTGGATGGGAAAGGGACAGGGACATCCCCAGAGTCCCCTCGGGGCTCCTCCAACCCCCTGAGACACCCGTCTGCCCCAGGGCAGCTCCGTCCCCCTGAGCTCCTCCATCACCTGTGGGTCTTCTCGCTGCCGGAGGCCAGGTGGCAGTTGACGAAGCCGAAGGAAGTCCCGTTGAAGAGGAAGGAGACGCCCACGGCTCCCTTGTTCCCTGCAGAGATGTGCCAGGCTCTGAGCTCTGCAGTGGCCCAGAGGTCCTGGGATGGCCCCCAGGCTGCCTTCGCTCTGGGGCACCCCCCGCCCCATCCCCATCCCTACCCAGCGTGTTGGCGATCCCGGTTTTCACGCTGGAGGTGTGGACGTGGCTGATGCGCCGCTCGTGCTCCGGCTTCACCAGCACCACGATCTTGATGCTCCAGAGGCATTGCAGGGCGACCTGCGGGGGGGGGCAGGGGGTGAGCCTGCTCTCTCCCCCCACATCACCCCACAGCTGAGCGCAGTGGGGAGGGGGAAGCAGCAACGTGAGTCAACCCATCCCTGAAAGGTGGCTCCTGGGGAGGGCACTGCCTGCATGGGGCCCGCTGGGCACAGAAGGTTCCTCGGGCTGCATTTGGGGTGGGAGAGGACCCTGCGTTTGGGGGTAAGAGCCCCGGGGCGATGGCTGATGGAAACCAGCTCCCTGAGGGATGTCTTTTGCCTGCTCAGCATCGGGTGGGGTCCAGGTGGGGTCCAGGCTCTGCCCTGCCATTACCACACGGTAGTCGACGGCCATCAGGGTCTTCAGAGATGCTCGGAGGAACTCGACCCACTCGCGGTCACCCAGGGAGTTCCCCTGGGTGCCGATAACGTAGATGTCGTGGGGGATGCAGGCGGTGGTCTCGTCCTGCGTGCGCCCCAAGCCCCTCGAGGTCAGCCAGGAGGCGAGGGAGCGGGGCGGTGGCGTGCTGCCTGCGGGCAGGGGACAGCGGGTCACCGGAGAGGGGACAGCACGGGGCTGATTCCAGGTTCCTAGAACCCCCCTCCAGCCCCAGACCCTCCACGTCTCCAGGAGCTGCTGGGGATGGGAAGCATCATGCCAGCCCCATGGTCCACCCCCGCACATCCCAGACTGGTGCTGGGATTTGCTGCTACCACCCAAAACCCTCCCAGTTACCCCAGCTCCGTTTCCCCGACAGCCACCAGGTGAGTGGATCATGATGGGACAGACAAACCTGAAAGCGGGGTCTTCTCCAGCCTCCTACTCCCACCGAGGACCAGCTTGGACCTCAGGTTTCCTGGGGCAGGTCCCTGCAGCCCTCACCTCCCAAAACTCCCCTGGGCTCACGATGAGCCCCAATGGCCCCCCAGGACAATGCAACCTTATTCTGGCCCCTTACCCATGTTCCATGTCCCGACGTACACCGAGATGAGGTCAGGCTCGTCCAGGTTGGAGTGCTGGATCTTCATCAGCTGCAGCAGCTGGCAAAAGGCCTCTCGCTTCTGCGGGACGATATGGGTGCCTTAGAGTCCCAAAGGGGAGGCAGGAGCTGCAGCACCCCAGAAGGTGCTGGTGGCAGGATCAGGGGGATGTCACACCCAGGTGTAGGAGCTGGCTTGCAGGGGTGGTCTCAACCCTGAGACCACTCATTTGCTGCACTGCTGCATAACAGCCCTGTACTTCCCCAGGACACCCGGTGAGCGCAGCCGGTGCCGCTTACCCGCGCGCTGGGGAAGATGAAGTCTCTGCTCAGGCTCCTCTGTGGCTCCCGGTCGTACACCAGCCTCACCTTACTCTGCGCACTCTGGTATTTGATCAGCTGCAGGACTGAATGCCGGGCGTGAGGGGGGCAACGGTGGCATCCACTTCCCACCGTGGGGGCCGGCAGGTGGCGTGGGATGGGGGCTCAGGGTGCAACCAGGTCTGCAGCCCATCACCCGGGC